CAACAGAATGCATAAACTAGTTTATCACACTTACAAAATATTCTAATCTGGTTAAGCACAAGAGAAAGAACGAATAACATGAACGGGTAAAAAACCAGACCTTCTTATAGTTAAAACAGAACATACCCAAAGCTTAAAGAACAATGATAACAGAAAAGGTAACCAAAAACTATTTTGCTTCTTCTCCTAAACCCCCCACCACCTAACTTATTAGGAATCAAAGGCAATAACCATTTGCAAGGAAAAACATAAACTTTGAAGAACCGAAAAAACCCGAGAAGAAATGTAAATCTAGGTTACAGATCTATCTCAAAGAAGAATAACCGAGAAGATGAAAATAGAGATTTACCTGAGGAGATGACGATCCGCCTGAGTTAGTTTCGTCGGTGAGAAAGAGGCCATGTGATTGCGAGCGTGGAGAGAGGGACGAGAAAATATGAATGAGCGTTTGGAAAATGACTTACCCTTTTTTCAAAGGGTAAGTTGTTTTACGGGATTTGGGGCTATTTTTTCCTTTGATCGTAAAATAATTTCCGTTGACTCCCTCTTTTCCTTGAACCAAACATAGGAAAACGGGGAAAACATTTTCTATAAAATGTTTTCTCCCAAACAAACAGAGCCTAAAATGACATCTAAACATGCCCTTAAAACAAACATCGTTTTGTACTTAAACAAACACTGCTATAAAAAGCAAAACAATGCTCGGATCCCCTTTGATAAGCCAATAAGACCGAACATATGCCTCCAGAAGCCTCCTGCAATAGTATAATTTTCTTCTACATGTTCAGAGATAATTGCTATAATATATATCTCTATATATTTTTAAGATAAATTCATATTTTATCGAATAAAAATAAGAAAAATACTATATTTTTTTGGTTGTTTAAGACCTTCCGAACCTTGAGTCAGATCAATTTCGAAAGGAGGAAATATACTTCTCGAATCTGATCTGATTAGTTAAAATTCTCAAACCAGTCGGCATCCCTATTTATTAGTGAAATACTTTAATTATAAAACCAATGTTTAAATATTATCACATCTTAAACCCTATTTTTGGAACAATTCCTATTTAGGAGAGGAGGAATGAAAATTTTGCTCATAGTAGATATTGAACTCACAACTTAAAAAAATCAACTAAAAACTTTTAATCACATACTTTAAATATTATTAACTTTAGTCTCTATACTTTAAATTCTAAATCATATAACTCTAAACTCAAATTGCATAAATTTTAAATTCTAAAACCTAAATTATAACCGTGTAATATCATATATCATCCATTTAACGTTGTTTATAGAATTTGCCTGTTACTGATATAATATTCTTTTTCGTAAAACAATTATTAAAATAAAAATCTTGTCAATCATTTAAAGTTTAGGGACCGGCAACCAATTAAATGCAAAAGCTGAACAAGATCTTTCAATTTTGAAAACATTAGGAATTGGAATTGGTCCAAATATCCAGAAAACGGGGCATCAAATACAAATTTGACTGGGTTTTGCTCGCTTCACGAGGCTCATTGTCCTGCGTTTTCCCCTAGTTTAAATCGTCGCCGTCCAATCGGCCATCTTTTGTTTTTCTCGAGATTGCCCCGAGTTTTAATTAATCTCACATCATCTTTTGAATGCCCTTCCGATATTTTGAATTTCAACTTCGTAGGAAGCATCCGCTGCCTCGCGGCGGTTTTTTTTTAAATAAATTTTTTTCAGTCAATCTTTCGCCACGTGTTTTGCTGCTTCAAGAATGTTTTCAAATTATTTATAAACAGGCATGTTTTCATAACATTATTACTCAATTGCCACTCATTGGAATTACGTGATAATAGTAAATCTAAATCCAATCTCAGAAAATATCCCTTAGTAGTTATTTAAAGGAAGTATTGATTTACCTTATTTCAAATTCGAGCAATTACATGTCACATGTGTAAGATATATATGCATGTATAAGATATGTACATTGTCCATAACCATGTGTAAGGTGTATGAACTATTATAAAAATATAAAGATGAAAATGATAATTTTTATTAAAATAAATTTAGATAAACTTCACATATAATTGAATTTAAATGAACATAAATTTTATTTGAGTTCGTCATCAGAAACTTAAAATTACATAATTAATTCTATTATAAGCGAGTTATTTTTTAATAAAAGTTGTAATTTAATCTCTCGATTAAAATATTATTACTAACAATTTATTCTATTGTTAAATTTGAAGCATATGCTCAACATAACATTGTAATTTACTTTCTAAAATTTATATATTCATCAATAGTGTCATATTTCAAAATAACTTAAATTTAATTATGTGTTTCCGAGATTTTGCTAAGATTAGTGCTTAATGATTATAATTTGGTGAAGTCCATATTGATGGATACTTTGAATTAAGTATTGAATGTGTTAAAATTTCATGTTAAGTGATAAGCTATATGCTCAAGTTTGTTTATTTTCTCATGACTATTGGTTGAATGAATTTCATGTGTAGAAGAGTATGATGATCTATTTGTGACCATCGAGTTTGATTTTACCTTAGGCTTGTTTCAATTGTCCTTATAATAAATGATTTTAAAATAATTATCTCTTAAACTGAAGTAAATTTTGGTACGAAATATACTAGGGTAATTTACACATTTAGTACCTATACTATTACTTTTGTCCCATTTTAGTACATAAATTTTATTTTTATCAAAATTATACTTAACGTTTAGTTTATGTTTTAATTTGGTACCCCACCATTAAAAAATTAACAGACTGACATTTTTTTCAATGATGACATGAAATTATCTTAAGGTGACACGTCAACATCATTGTTAAGTTTTTAATGGTATGATACCAAAATTAAACCTAAAATAAATGTTAGGTATTGTAACATCCCAAACTACGAGTTAGTGACTAAATTGAAAAAAAATCAGAATTTAGTGATTACAGTAGAATTTATTGAAAAGTTCATGCATTATTATATGGAAATTCTGGTGTAGGATTAAATTACAAAGAAAGAAGAATGGAAGGGCAAAATGGTCATTTAACCTAGAAATGAATTAAAATGTAATAGGGAGAAGATATATACACGTTGGGATAAGCTTAAGGAGAGATTTCTCCAGAAAACTCTCCCTTCTCATTCTTCCTCCTCTCAACGTAGACTCCATAGCAAAGATATCGAGCATAAGTAAGTTCCGGAACAATCGAAGAAATAGATTCGATTCGAATCAAGTGAGAATAAGGTGAGTGCATCTTAGTTAGTGTATGATGTTTAATGGAAGTAAGACTTGCAATAAGTTTATTTCCTATATTAAAATGCATAAACTCATGAACATAAGCATGTGTTTAATATGAATATATGTGATATATGTTATCATGCATGTTATGTGACTATGTTAAGCTATGTGAAAGTGATTTATGAGATCATATGCCTATGTGATATGGAAATGTCCCAAGTGTAAGTGAAATACATGCTTATATGAATATGTAAAATGACATAAATGATAATGCCCATGTTATGTGATATGAGAGCTATGGGTATAGTTGGCATGCCAAGAGTCGAGGGTTCTATGTGGTCCTTCTAGATATATATGTAATCCTTTGGAACATATATGTGGTTCTTCATGACACATATTTGGTCCTTTGGAATATATATGTGATCCTTAAGGAGTGGTCTTTCGGGAAATAGTGGTCCTTCGGAACATAGTGTTCAGTGCCCCTAGTGGGAATTTATACGAGTTGTAGTGACAACATATGTGCACAACCTCAATGTACTCACATACCTCGAGTTCTCAATAATGTACATGGGCTTATAAAGATATCAAAAGTGTTTACATGGTTATATGCTATCAGGTAATTATTATTTACACTGCGTAATATGATTGTATTTGGAATAATTAGGTTGCATAGTCATATTTATATGAAATGCATTATCATATTATTATGCCTCACTAAGTCTATGACTTAGCATGTAAGTGATTTACACATAGGTACAAAGAAGCAAGAAGACCAGAATTAGAAGTTGCTCGGACAACATACCTTATTAGAAGATCAGATCAGAAGTAATTAACAAAGTATGTATTTTGTTGCATATAGTGGGTTGGCATGCAATAAGTTGTTAAGTACGAATGCTCTGATAGATTTTGTATTATTTTGGTAAACTTATGTAAGTTAACAAATTTTATTTTAATGAAAGTTTAAAATTTCCTTGATTTTCTTTAAGAGTCAAAGTTTGAAAAATCAATGTGACACCTCGAACTTGTATCCAGGTCGGGTACGGGTTGGGGGTGTTACATGTATGATTTTTTTAAAAAAAGTTTAGGTACCAGAACGGAATAAAAGTAATAGTTTAGGTATTAAACGTGTGATTTACCCTATATAATAAGGTGTACGAGCATTAAAGGTGTTATTTTTTTTATGATATGCCTAAAGTGTAAATTTCAAGTGTAAGAAAATGACTAGTGATTTCTATATTAATTGAAGTGTAATGACATGAGATAATGCTATGATGATTGTGTCATTTATATATTGTACATATGTTTATCTTATTGTTATTCTCTCTTTTATTGCAAATGTATATTTTGACCCCTTTATGAAATTTCTACTAAGTGACACACACAAGTGTCTTATTTTGTTTAATTGCAGTTCTTAGTGATGATGTGTCATCGTTGGCTTTGATTTATTTGATTATGATCTATAACTATTTAGATATGTTGTATGGTTCGTAATTAAGTTTTAACTTATCATGGTTTATGATCTCTTAGTGAAGTATGCATAGTTGATTGATAAAGTGATTACATAATATCTATTATTATGTTAGTAAGGAGTTAATCAAGCGTGATCTTAGGTAGGGATTGGCAGTAGGGTTTAAGTGAGATAATGGTTCATCTTAAAAATTTAAATTATCATATAGATATTTTCGATTTTTTGTTTTTGTTGTAAAATGAGTACTTTGAATTAAACGTTCCAAAGTATACCACCCCAAGGGCCTCGTTAAAAAATCTTCATAAACTTAAGTAGAGGAAAAAGAGGTGGAAAGAAAGACAAATGAAACAGACCCGAAAATTACGCCACTAGTACAACACATAACCAGCTACAAGAGTATAGCAACGAACTACACCTAAGAGGGAAACTACACACGATACCAGAGGGAAAACTGACAAAGGAGACTAAACATATCCGCACAGACCACACAACCCATACAAAGCGTAGCCCCAGCTTGAACAGAAGCACTACAATCGACAACAAAAATCTGTGCAAAGTGGAGCCAACATCAAATAAGAGAGCACCCGAACCGAGCAGTCGTCATAAGGACCAACGAGAAACAGCTGAATCACTGGTACAATAAAACAGTGCAAAAAACCTTCAAAGGCAGGAGTAGTACAGAAAGCCTGATAAGGATTCAAGACCTAGCAGCAAAGAACGAGGATCCCGAAACAGAAACGCAAACCGGACTGGCTGAAGCTAATAACTCCATTAACATACACCACGAATGATAGCATCTGGATTACGGATAAAGTCAGACACCACCGGTAATAACATCGGCCACAAGTAATTCGCCCATATCCCAATCTGTAGTAAAGCTTTGAGGAAAATCTGTTATGCCGTAAAAACAACAAAGTTAAATCTGGAATTATTACGACAATTCCAGATTACCCAGATCAACCCAAAGAAGCCGATACGCCAAAGCAGCTTGACTCTCCTCCTAACACGTTGCGAAAACCAAATCACAATCAATTGATAAACATTCTTAGGAAACACTAAGTTTACATTCCATATGAAACACCATCTTTGCCAAGCTTCCCAAACAACAGAGCAATGACATAAAGCATGATTAATCGCTTCCGGTTCAATATTGCAAAATAAACAACGAACCTGATCGGAGCAAATAACACCCCTTTTAACCAGCTCAACCATTACCGGCAGTCTAAGATGAACTGCTTTCCACACAAAAGCAGACACTTTAGGAGGGGCAAGATTGGACCAAACGAGTCTCCACACAGGATCTTCTAATTTACCTTCACAAGCCACCTTGGAACAGAATACTTTAGGATTGTAATTGCCATCCCGCGATCCCGTCCAAAAGACCCTGTCAATACCTTCATTAACACTAACCGCTCTGTTTAAAACCTGCAAAAATTCTGTCCAAATAGGCTTTTCCCATTCAAAGAAAGCCCTTCTCAAATCCATCCTCCATTCCCAACTACCGAACACCCAATATCCGAAATCTTTGATCTTGCCACGCTTTTTAGTAGCTAGACTAAAAATCCTTGGAAAAGAGGATTGTAAAGAGTTTTTTTCTGTCCAAAAATCAGTCCAGAAGTCAATGTTATTACCATTACCCATGACACACCTCAAATCAGCAAGAAATTCAGGGGCAGTGTTATTACCATTACCCATAACACACCTCAAATCTATTTTTATCCATTCTAAAATTTTATAAGTTTTTCACTCTTAAAATTTAGAATTTTACCCTATAACATAAAATTCTATGGTTGTCCTTGAAATTAGGATGTACATTTTGGTGTATGTCATGCGAGGATGAAGCTATGCTTCATCCAGGGGACACTGCCCCCTAAAATTTTTTTATAATTAAAAATTATATAGGGTAAATACCTACTTAAATCTTATATTTTAATTTATTTTGATTTTGTCCTCTATTTTTATTATTAATTACACTTTATCATCTTAAGTTGATATATCGACTCGATGTCATGTGATGTCTATGTTTATCAGGGGCAAATGATGAACTTTGAAGTGTTGGTATGCTTAAACTAGTAATTATCTGCTTTTGAATAAATGAACATGCTAAATTTAGATTCAATGATGGTGTAAAATGCATTTCTTGATTTTTTTTTCTTCATGATTTAAATATACTCAAGTTGGATCTATGGTGTAGTTCCAGCGACCTGGGTTCGACTCCCGGTAGGACCTATTTTAATACTATTTATCCAAAAAATAGCATGCTTATATTAACATCTTAAGAATATTCTTAAATTTATCGACACTTTTAACAAAAGAAACAATATTTTTTATAATTGAATTAATGCTGGTTTTATTTTATGAATTTTGAAAACATCAAATCTAAAAATTGTATCAATATTTGAATTTAACGTCAATACATATGATCAGAGTATTGATACTCTAGACATAATATAAATGCTTGGTTGTATATTACTTAAAATTTGTATATAAAACATTAAGAAATGGTTCAACTGGTTCTATATCTCATAACTCCTATGATTCTTTTAATACGGTCCTTAAACGTGTCAATATGATTTAAGTTTTGGTCAATTATCTTGATTTCACCTATGATGCCTATAGTTATTATACGTATACGTATACATGTATATGTATGTTATAAGTAGTTTTTTCTGGTATGCATTGATAATTAAAGTTTAATTATATTACAAATTAGTCCTTATTTGTTTGGTTGGTTTGATATAGTCGTAAAAAAATTCAATTTGATCTAGATTTCACTGTCTATTGCGTATTATGTATTTTGTCTGAGTTAATTGTGGATCAAGTAGAGGAAGTTGGGGGAAGTCTCACATGCGACAGCTTAATATACGGTTAAGGAAAGTCGTTACCGGTTTTGTTATTATTTTTTTAATAAAACCGGTAAAAAATTTCTGGAAACATTATTATTTATACCGGTTTTGTTATTATTGGGAGCTTTACTAGGTTTGGTAATATATCCGGTAGAAAAAACTAATATTTTAGGTAGCGCTTTACCGGATATATTACCAAGCTCGGTAAAGCGCCCAATAATAAAAAAACCGGTAGAAATATTAATGTCTTAGGTAATTTTTACCGATTTTATTAAAAAAAATAATAACAAAACCGATAGCACATTTCTTTAACTGTATATTAAGGTTGTCATACGGTAGAACTTCCCACGAAGTTTCACCTTTGAGCTTGACAAGTATTGTCAAATTAGTAAACTTTTTATAACAACTTATCAAGTTTAAGGGATAATTTGACTAAACAAATTTAAGGGCTAATATGACCAAACTTATCAAGATCAAGTGCCAATTTGAGCCTCAAAAAATTTACGTGCCAATTTGATTAAACTTATCAAATTTAAGGAATAATTTGACGAAAAGCGTTTACTAGGGGCCATTTTGTGTTTTAAGCCAAATTTAAATTTAAAGCTTAGGAGGTAGGTGTGAAAACTTGATTCAACTCGAAAAGTCGATTTTTTTTACTTGAAAAAACTTGACTCAAATTGACTTCTAGTTGTAATTTCATAAACTCAACTCGGTTCGAAAAAATTTCAAATTTAAATCGAGTTATAAAATAGAACTCGAATTTTTTAATAATTAGTAGATTGATTTTCAAGTTAGAGTCAATGAACTCGACTCTGTATGATATATGTATATCATATATGAAAAAAATATGAAGACATATATATGTATTATAAATAGTTATAAAAATCATTTATATTAGAATAAAATAATATAATAATATTATAAATATTTACAATTAAATTTAAAGAGAAACTCAAAAATTTGACTTGAAAAAATTTGAAGTTAAATTCAAATTATAAAATATGACTCGTTAACTCTAATAACTCAATTTTTTTAATCGACTCATTCTAACGCTTACCCCTATTCAATGTTAAAAAAGAAAAAAAAACTAATTACAAGGAAAATGACATTTTAGTGATTTTCTTAATAATGATGAGTTATTTATATATACATCTGCAATATCAATCACCCTCCTTCAAATTTTCAAATTTCCTCAGAGCTGAAAACTTAGACAATCACCTGTTCGTTGTCAGATCAATTCCAAAAATAAGAATAAAGAATCATTTTTTCTTTTAAAATTAAACATTTCCCTCTTTCACACGGAAATGACGTTGTAATACTAATAAGTTATTTGCTTCGTTGAACCAACTTTTCTTTTTTTTTTTTTTCTATTTTTTTAGTTTCATTTTTTTGAATTTAAAGTTCAGGTTTGGATCTAAATGCAGAGGATTTGCTGGCTTTGATAAGTTTTTATAGATCCAAAAAACTATGGTGATGAAAGAGAGAGACGAAGAGCTAGCTTTGTTCCTGGAAATGAGGAGACGAGAGAAGGAGAAAGAGAAGAACAATCTTCTCTCGCTCAATAACTCTGAAGAACAGCTCAATCTTCCTTTAGGTACAAGAAAAAAAGAACAAAATGATCGCGATGCCATTTTGAGGATCTTCCTTGTGGAAGATGAAAAGTTATTTTTGAACTGATTTTTTGTTTGTTGACTGTTGACTAAAGTGATGTTTGGTTGGATTTGTATAGGATCTAACGTCAACGGAAACAACGGCGGCGGCGGCGGAGGTTCTCCGGTAGCAAAGATTGTCTCGGCGCTGCCTGTACGAAAGACTGCGGCGGAGAATTTTTTGAATTCGGAGAATGAAAAGTCTGATTATGATTGGTAAATGCTAAAGATATATGATATCTCTCTAGCTGATTTGGTTGATCTTTTACTGTATTCAGCGATCCTGCTTGTTTTGAACTGAAAATTTACGATCTATCTTTGTTTGGAGCAGTATGTTGCTTATCAAGGAGCTCTAGGTTTTTGGATAATTGAATCTACGTGCCCAGTAAATCTCCTTTTCTCGCTTTTTCTAAACCAAAAGAAGGATAATGAAGTTTGTGTGAGCAATAATTTGATTTTATCTTAAAGCTTCCTTTTAAGGGGGAAAGGTGTGGGTACCAATTAAGCCATAAAGAGGAGTACTTCACATCATTCTATATCTTTACAAGATAACCTCCATTTGCCTTTTGTAAAATTTGGATTTTGACATTAAATGTTTTTCTTTTCTCTTTTCTATTGCAGAATTAAAATTTTAAATCTGTTGCTTCTGCAATGTTGACAATTCTAATGGCATCCATGATCCATTCTCTCTTTCAGATTTGCTGTTACCTTAAGCGATATAATTTGCTAAAGATACTATTGTCAAAAATAGAAATTTGTATTTCAAAATTTAGTAATTATGTTTCAATGTTTCTATAGTGAAGCAAAGTTTATGGACATTTCCTTATGGTTGCACCTTAAATTCATATAAATGATGATGATGTGATTCAATATTGAATTGTTTCTTTTTCTGTGTAGTCTGTACTAATATGGGAGATATGTTCTGTCTTCAGGCTTCTTACTCCGCCTGGTACACCACTATTTCCCTCTTTGGAAATGGAATCACAGAAGACTCTAATGAGCCAGCTTGGGATGTCTAATGCTCGTCCGGTCGCATTGAAAACGAGGGTAAGAACACTTATGTGATTTGAGTTCCAGATTGACAGAATTAATAGGGGTTTGAGTTTGAATCATGTCATACTGGGAGCATTAAATCTTGTTGGCTTGTGTTATTTCATCGTTATCGGGTTAAGTTATGATAGTTTGCTGGCCTTAGTTGCTTTGTGGTTGTTAGAGATTTTGTTACTTCCCTATTGTCGTTATCCAGCAAATTTATCTTGCCTTGGGGTTTCAGCTGGCAAATCTCCCAGAGGAACCTGCTTCGAAGAGCACTCTTGCGTTAAAGCAACAAAATCCATCAGCTGGAGTAAACTCTTCCAACACAACTAAAAGGCCATCCTCTTCAGGGGGTCCGAAATCTGCTATTAGACCTGCAACACCTACTGGCCGGTCAACACTTCCCACAGCAACCAAGCCTTCAAGGTCTTCTACACCTACATCACGAGCCAACCTGCCTTCCGTAAATCCTGCTGCGTCTACAGTGAGGTCCTCAACTCCGACAAGATCCACTGCACGTTCTTTGACACCAACTGCTAGACCCTCATTGCCTGCTTCCATGTCAACATCAAGATCATCTACGCCAACACGTCGACCAGCTTCCTCGTCTGGCGCACTTACTGCAACTGCACCTTCCGGTCGATCGTCTTCTGTAACGAGATCTGCTCATACCACATCTTCAGTACCAAAATCAGCTTCACTCACTTCACTTATGAAATCAGCTCCTGCTTCAACTGTTACAAAATCAGTGCCTACCGCATCATCCATAACAAAACCAGCTTCCACTACAACAAAAAGTTCAGTACCATCACGGGGCACATCGCCAACCGTAAAGTCTAGGCCTTGGAAACCATCTGAGATGCCTGGATTTTCACTTGAAACACCGCCAAATTTAAGGACTTCGTTGCCAGAAAGACCATCATCTACCTCACGGGGGAGGCCAGGAGCTCCCGGTGCTAGATCATCTTCTGTTGAGGCCAATTCTAATGGAAGACCAAGACGCCAGTCCTGCTCACCTGCTAGAAGTAGGGCATCAAGCGGCAGTATCGGTAATGTGAGCTCCATTCGTTCTTTGCGTAGAGCAGATCCTAATGGTAGTGACAGTGAGAGTCCAGTAGTGATCGGAACAAAGATGGTTGAGAGAGTGGTAAATATGAGGAAGCTGGCACCCCCTAAACAAGACGACTATCATCGTAATAACCCTACTGCAAAATTATCTACATCCCTCGACAGCTCAGGATTTGGAAGAACACTCTCCAAAAAGTCTCTAGATATGGCTATGAGGCACATGGTATATCTTCTGCTTTACATCAACACATTCTGTTAACTTGACGAATCATAATTTGATGCGTGTTGATAGTAAGGTCTTCCTTCGGGATTTGATTCTCATTAACATATCTCATCATTTCTTGTACAGGATATCAGGCGAACTATTTCAGGTAATCAGCGTCCGCTTATGACAAATGTTCCAGCTTCCTCTATATATAGTGTGAGATCAGGATCCACAAGGAGCAGGACTGTAAGTGTTTCTGATTCTCCACTTGCCACGAGCAGCACTGCCAGCTCCGAGCCAAGTGTAAACAACAATTCCTTCTTTATCGACGGGAGTGAAATAGACGACAATGATATCAGTAGCGAGAGAGGAATCTCGTCCCCAACCAGCCAGCGTGCCGGCTGACAGAGGGAAACAATTTCGTCCGAATGTATATCGATTTTACGGGAAAGCTCAGTCAGAATGACGATGAAGAAACAACCTGTTTCTTAAAGAAGCTGATATTTAAGGGAGCATTTCAAATGGCTGTAATCTGTAGTACCTGTAGGTAAGTACTTCAGTGCATTAATGTAAGAATGAGATTAGATTTTGAGAAGAAGAAAAAAGGATAACTATTATATTGTTGAACTTTGATATCTGGTCCTGGAAATGTTCCTGCCTTTCTCAAACTATAAAAAAAAATGGTTGATTATGTGCACTCACGATTCATTGCTTTTTTTAACTGGGTATTTTGGTTAAAATTAGTAGTTATATTTTTTTGGGTAAAGTACACAAATGGTCCATTAACTATAGGATAATATTTTGTTGAGTCTCTCGACTATTAAAATTTATAAAATGATCCCCCGATTGTAGGATATTATTTTGTTGAGTCTCTTGACTATTAAAAGTTATAAAATTGTTATCTGACTATTTATGTAACAAACTAGTCATTTCAGTTGGACGTTACTTTACTTATTGAGATATTATATTTTAATCTTGTTAAATGACATTATTGTTACTTTTAGGCATTTGTTCGACAACATAATGTAAACGGAGACTAAATTTATAAAATAAATCTCAAATGATTTTGAGATCGTATTTTATCATATTTCAGTTAATAGATTAATATCTAGATCAAAAGACCGTTGATTTTTCTAATAGAAAAGAACGAATTTGGAATATATTAATAGTTAAATGATCATTTTATAATTTTTAATAATTAAAAGACTTAACAAAGTAATATTCTATAATCAAAGAATCATTTATGTACTTTATCCTATTTCTTCTAGTTCAAATTGACCAACTTGACTTTGTTGTACATTTTGATGATTAGTTCGGGATAAAAAATATGACAAAAAGCACAAATTTAGAAAAGAATATTAGTTTAAATCATAGAATTAAATTATTTTTTAAACGGATAGTTTGGGTCTGATTCTTAAGCAGTGACAACAGCCTTTAGAATAGGATTCTAAACAAATGAGTCGAATTTGAGTATTATTGAGTTTGATTCTATTTAAAAACTTTAAAATGAAGCTCGATTCTTTTTGAAAATTCGCGAGTCTAAAATTTTCAAGTTCGAATTGAACTCGAAACAATGAATTGAAATTCGAAAAAACTTGAAAAGGCTCGAAATAAAAATAATCTTAAACTTAACTCAGTTGAAGCTCAAACTCAAATTCAAACCTAAACCTTATACTATATATATATATATATTAAAATTCAACACATAAATATTAATATTATTAATAATTTATTTTTTAAAAAAATAAAAGTTTAATATATTATTTTTTCGAGTTATTCACGAATTTTTTGAGTTAAATATCAAATAATTCATTTTAACTTGTTAAAAATCAAATTAAATCTATTCGAGTTAAATATTTACTAAGTTTTAATCAAATCAATTTCGAGTAATTCATAATCGATGTTGTCTTTTATAAATTTACTCATAAGTAGGTATGGTTGTCGACTTGTCGTCTTAGTCTTAGGGGGAGGAGCACTTGTACCAGCACCCGAGGGACTAGAGAGTAGAGGCAGGAGGAGTAGCGATTTTAGCATCTTTCTTGGCATCCGCTGGTGGGGGCCATTTGAGAAAATTAAAATTTTTATAAACTTAAATAAACTTGTTATATACTTGGACAAATTAAAATTATCATAAATTTAAATAAACTTATTATAAACCTAAATAATCTTGTTACGATTTAAGAAAATTAAAATTATTATAAATTTCAATATAATTTAAATATGACATTACAGAAAAATAAATAAATAATAAAACTAAAAAAATATTGTATCAATGTTGATTTTTCATGAATGAGTTTTAGAGTGTGGCGTTCTTTGGTTTCGTGTGAGATTATTTTGTATTAATTGTTCTTCAATAGGATTGTTATTGCCATTGTTTCCGTCATATTGATTGACATTATCTCTAACATTATTAGCATCAACGTGTGTTGGTCGAGCGAGTTTATTCAACGACGCATCCCAATCATACAATTCCACCAGTGAATGCGGATTGCGAAAATCTAAAAAATCTTATCAGTGAAAATGGCGTAATTGATTGGACTGATTGGATTAATTATGGTGGTATCGGTGGAGGAACATCACTCGTCAAATACATATTGAATCAAATAGTAAGTGATAATTACATAAAAATACTTTATTTCTATTTTTTTTACTTGAGTTATTATTCGTCTAAACAAAATGTTCACAACATATTAGTTACATTTAGTTGTATTTAGGTTATAATTACGTGTGGTAGATAAGTTTTGTTTAGATAAAATTTATTTGGTTTGACTGATGTTACCGAGGAGAAAAAGCTTGGGTAGATTGTGTATGTGCAGAAAATTAACTAAGGAGGAACATTTTAGTCGCGACAATGTATTTCGCAAGGGCCAGTGGAACATAGAAGATAAAGACAGTGAGGAACATATTTACCTCGCCAAGGCAAGGTTTATCTTGCAAGTCTGAAGCGGATCTGACGAATTGCCTATGTCACATGTCAACTATACGACTACCTTCACGTGCAAGCAAGCCCTCAAGATTCTGACAACAGTCAGTCGCCTATCCTTTTTTAGCATGGACAAGAAAGCAACGGGTATTTAGGGAATCTTCACTTGTTTGAAACCCTAGGAGATTTCCCTTTATAAATACCAGTCACATTCGCCAAAAAGGGAGGTAAGGAAGCAAGAAGAGCTTTAACTAAAGCGTGGAGTGAGCAACTGTAGTGCTTTCCCACTGTTTTCCAACCCGACCGTCCTTGGTGTCCTCCATAGCCAGGCTATAGCAGAGCGACGGTCAGGCCTCAAGAGAGGATGGTCGCCAGGGCAGGCACGTTGTTGATCAGAGATGTCACGACAGAGCCCTCGGTTTTGGGAGTCATTCCTCCCTTGTTCCTAATTTCTTTACTTTGCTTGGGGTTGTATTAAAACGATGACACTTTGGTTGATTTTTTGACAACACCATGAACTGTTTTACTAGGTGTTAGTCTTTGTTTTGCCGAGACAATGATTTTATGTTTTATGAACGATGCATTATGACTTTGCTCATGACACTTTTGTTCATTATTTAAATATTTTTCCTTGACACTGTAAGAGCTTCGAGAGATTGTCTGGGGTCTAGGTAAAACACGTCTTGACACTGTAAGAGCTTCGAGAGATTGTCATTTGTCTAGACATCGATTCTTAGATTCGAGAGAATTAAGATAGATCTACGTGAGCAATGGAATGGATCTGGGATGGTGATGTTCTAACCTGTCTACCTTAGAGATAAGGAGAGGGTTTCAATCGACTAAAAGTGATAGACGTTGGAGTAGGATAGACAACGATTATAGTTCACGCTGAGAGGTATTGCTACAATAGTTTGACAAACCTAGGGTTATAGTTAACGCTGAGTAGTATTGCCATAACAACCGTCAAAGAATACTCAGTAATCCTGTCGGGCAGCTTAAGCATATCATAACAAATCATTCTAGACTTAGAATAATTGCTTGTCATAAACGCTTGTCTTTGCCTTGCTTATTTTAATTTGATAACTTTGCATATTTATTTTGCCTCGACCAAACTCTTCTACAACCATACTTTATAATACTTTCTTGCTTTATTTCGTTACTAATAGTTTTCTAGTTTGACAAGACTTCAGGAATTAGCTCGTGACAATTAGTTCTGGTTGTGGTGAAACTTAAAAGAGCCGACCAATCCCTGAGGAGACGATAACTCACTTATCATTTATTACTTAATTCGATTGTGTATACTTGCATAGATTTGCTTGCCTTAGCATATACATTTCTAAGCGATCAATGAGTATGATAGTAATGATGTATAATAATCTTATTTTAGAGTCAACATATGTAAAACAAAATATGGTGTATGTTGTGGTATTTTGAGTGATGCTACTGATGACGAGCTAGAAGGGTTCGTTCTTCCTTAATTAGTCAGATGACGAAGATGTTGCATCAATGTACATTTTTTTTCATGTGCATAAATAGATATGGTTCATTCCTCGTCAGATAATAGATATGACTTTCCCTATTACATGAACCATACCTTATGATTGATGAGGCGAAATGTAATTCTTGATGCTTTTGGTATTTAAATGAAATCATACCATTAAAAAAATCATGTGATTTATGGGACGAAATCAATGTAACAATTTTTTTAAATATAATTCATTGAAAGATGCGCTTCTCCATAGACCAAAATATTTTCTAAAACATGTTAGCTCGACTGTGAGATATAACAAAAACGTATCTTATCAAATGTGTCTTTTAAAAGACTCACTTGACGAGGTACACTTTTTGTTTTATGTTAACTAGGCTGTTAGATATAACAAAAACATGTCTTATCAAATGTTCCTTCTAAAATACCATCTAATAAAGTACACTTTTATTCGATATGAAGAAAGAGTATCATTCTAAAAATTAATTAAAAATTGTGTTAATTTTTTAGAGGATGATAGTAAGGGTAAATGAACCATAATTAAAACGAAGAATAAAAAATTACAAGGAGTGAAAAGAAAAACAAAGAATAAATATTATTTTTATTAACACATGTTACATGTTATGATTAAAGGGTAAATTTGACAAAATTGTTGAAAGAGAATGATAGAATTGTTATAAAACTAGTATTATGGACAAATGCAATAGCCAATAGATGAAATATTAGTTGAAGAATAAATTAAAAAAATCAAAAATTTGATTCATTGGTTATTGTTCTTTTATATTTTAATTTAAATAAAATGAATCAATTATTAAATAGGATTGTAACAAAAAATCATTAAATATGATAAAATTGTCAAAGGTCTTACATTATCTTAGATTACAGAAGAAGTTGTAATGAGACCTATTCGTATCTTGTCAAATCTGGACGCTATTAATAATACGAGTATTATATTATCATATTAAAATAGGATAAAGTACACAAATGGTTCCCCGAATATAGGGCGATATTTTATTGAGTCCTATAACTATTAAAGTTATAACTATAGGGTGTTGCTTTATCGAGTTCTCCGACTATTAAAAGTACAAAATGATCACCTGACTATTCATATCTACCAAACTCATCATTTTTTTATTTAAAAATTTGGCAACCATTTGAGTTGAACTTTAACTTTTTGGCTGAGA